GAATTTTGTCTAATATAATCTGACAAGGGTGCGCACATTTTTTATTAAATGGGTATATTTGAAATGTGAGGTGTGTGGATTGAGATAAATACTTAAGAATCAAATTACTAAGTGTGTGGAGTGAGAAATGATGTACATAGAGATAATGTGGTGTGTAGAAATAGAATATCCCTTATTCATCTAAATATCACCTATCTATACATTTGTCATATTTGTCCAAATGTCATATAAATGTACAAGTGTTACCCATTTACTTAATAATATAAATGACATTAAAATTTATTATTTGCATGACTTGATAGACTCTGATGCTCTCTATTACATGTATGTAATGAAGATTTTTATCACATATTTAATAACCATGAAATATGAATACAAATTTATAATTAATTTAACTTAAAAAAGACAATTACACTCACTATTGAATGACATAATGAAATATCTCTATTACAAATATGTAATGAAGAGGATCGCAATCTTAACTTTTTTGTTTTTTAGGTAGTTAAGTCGTAAATTAAAGACAAAAATTTACACATTTATAATGGACATATCCCAACTAATACAACAAATCTCAAACCCTCAATAAAAGGGGTAAACTAGTACAAAATAACTAATTAAAACACTCCCATAACCAACAAAAGAAACATAAATAAAATTTAAAATTGTCCATATATCATTTTTATCCCCAAGTACCTTCTACCATCGAAAATAATAGATGGATATTTATAAGTGATTTGAAATGATCTAAATAAATATACTTTTTAATTTTTTTATAAAATATAGATTGAGTATGAATTAGATTTAGGGGTTGTTTGGAGTGCCTTAAATAAATGCATTTTTTTTTTATCTTTTTAGACTAAAAAGTTGAGGAAAAAAATATGGATGTTTGGGTTAACTTTTTGACTTTTTATAAAAAAATGTGTATTAAAATATTGTATAATTAAGTGTGTAGGAGAAGATAATTAATTAATCCGTACAATTGGGCAGTGCGTCGGCTAAAAAGGATATGGGAAAAGATTGCCTACTTTTTGGCCTTTGATTGGACTGTGTTGTTCGGCCCGTAGAGGCCCACCACGGGTCCCGTTTTTCTAATCGAAACCGTTCAATGTGTAGAACTCGTCGAGTATTATATTCTTATAAAAAATCACATTCATTGGATATCGATAGATATCTAATCGTATTAGTTTTTTTTGTTACATGTTAACTATAATACCATCCATTTTTTATACAAAAACTGATTTGATCATATAGTTAGCGATATCCGATAAAAGTGATTTTTACAGGCATATAGTACTCGATGATTTCTACACATTCAACGGTTCTGATTAAAAGGACGGAACCCGTTGTGGGCCTCCATGAATCCAACTTTACCATCCAATTTAAGAATATACACATGTAATATATTTTTTTTCCCTTTCACTCCTATGCTTTGATGTCTGTACATAGGCTGTCGTGCGTCGACTGATTTGTATTTAACGTTATATATATTAATTTTTTTTGTAAATAGTGATAACTTTTTTACTTTTTGAGTAACTTTTTTACTTTTTGTCTTTTTTCAGAGTTGCCAAACTTGGCCTTAAAAAGATGTAATAAAAAAATAATGTAACTTAAATAAGATGATACAACTTAAAGAGAATAATAAATTTTTAATTTTTTTAAAGAAATATGTTTCCGACCCCCTCAAAATAAGACCCCCTCGACCCCCTCTGAGCTGGACAGCACGTGATGGGTTACGTGACATACAAAGCCGACGCCCCTCCTCTTTCAGAATTCAAAAACATTTTTGAACGGGATAATATAGCTCGATGACAATGGCGATCGAGAGGCAAAACGACTCCTAAACTCGACGGACAGCTCCCCCTCACTCGACGGACAGCTCCAACTCCCAACTCCGAAGGCCGACTCCCTCAGCTCCTCCCTTTCACTCCGACGTCCTTGACTGCGATGCCCGACGCACTCTCTCTCGCTCCCTTTCCATCTCATTCGACGGACCCCCTCCTCCTCTTCACGCCCCGACGACAGGTCCTACTGTGTCCTCCCGAGTCCCGACTGCCTCTATTTCAATCTGGTGTATATATATATATATATATGTTGATTTTGCCATAATTTTGCCAATTTCAGAAATTTCAGAAATTGTCATCCCCAAGTTGAGGTAATATATATGTTGTTGAAATTTCTGAAATTAACATATATATGTTGTTGATGCCCTAATTTCTACAGATTTGTTCAGATTTCTGAAATCTGTGTAAAATCTGAACATATGGATTGAATTTCTGAAATTGAAAATCTGTGTAAAATCTGAACATATGGATTGATGCCCTAATTAACATATATTTTATTATTCTCAATTCCATATTTTATTATTATGTAAAATCTGTGTAAAAATCAAATTTCTGAAATTGAAATTTGTTGAATCAAATTTCTGAAATCAAATTTCTGAAATTTCTGAAATCAACATCTTCTTAGAGATGTAATGGGTAGCATTATAGGCTTCTTCCCAGTGGAGGTATAACTTCTTCCCAGTGGGTTTAATGGTCTTTGAGTCTTAACATGAGTTATTGGGGAGGTATAACTTCTTCTTAGAGCAGCAGCATGATGTTTGTTCTCTTGAAAACACAGGAATTTGAGTTACGATTAGAGATGTAATGGGTAGCATTATAGGCATGAGGTTGCCATTAAGAGATTTTCATCTTTCTTGGAATGCCTCAAAGAAGCCATATTGCATCTTTTAGTAGAAATATAGAATCATTAAGCCATATTGCATCTTTCAGTAGAAACCTTAAACTCCAAATTGCTCATGGGTATAAGTGCCATCTAAAATGTTGAGAGTGGTAGTGATTCTTAGCAAATAAATGTGTTTTTATTTCAATATGGGTGACTTTCTAGTAGTACTGTACCAAATCTTGTTCTTCTGTCTGAGATAAGACATATAGTCCTAGTTTTTTCTGAGGTCGACATTTCTTTATTACTATACACAAATTTCTTATTTCCATTTTCTGTTGGGTTTGACTTACCCATAATCTCTTAATGAATTGAATTCAGTTTTTTGGAAGTTACAAAGTGATATGTCAAATGATGGTTGAATTATGTGTCTGTTAAATGTTGAATTATAAATTTTATTCTTACAGTGGTTTATATATTAAGATAATAACTAGTTTTGTTCTGTAAACAAAGTTGTTTAACTCTTCTATTTACTTAATGGAGTTTGACTTGGATTTATGAAATCTGCTAATCGCACACTGAGTTATATGGACTTGGTTTGAAGTACTGGTTGCCAACTTGCCAGTGTGTATATAGCTCACTGTAAGTGAAATGAGTTCAAATTCAAACTGTAAGTGAAATGAGTTTGAACTCATTTGAATTTGGAAAATGAATTTGAACTTGAAGTTGAACTCATTTGTCAAATTGAGTTCAAATTCAAACTGACAGTGTTTGAATTCATACAAGGTGTCACTGTTCAAATTTCACTTACAATTCAAAAATGTAACTAGCCCAATGCACGTAAAATGTAACTTGTATGAGTTCAAATTCAAACTGACAGTGTTTGAATTTTCACTTTTTGATTCAATTTCAGACTATTCCCATATGAGACTATTGAGTTCACTTTTTGATTCAATTTTCAGTTAATGAGGATAACTTGTTATTGCAGATGTCAAGTTCAACTGTCAACGCCAGTAGCTCAGATCGGTTGATGTACATCAACAAAAATTGTCCTACATGTAAGAAAAAGGCCATGATTCAAATTTCTAAGACCGATCGAAACAAAAACAAGCTATTCTACTCTTGTAATGGTTGTGGTATTTTCATTGGATGGTGTGTGCCTATGAATTCAGAATGTGGAGATCAAGAAATTCCAAGACAAGTAGAAAGAGAACTGCTAAGATCTATGACGGAACAAGTTCGAGCTATGACCGAACAACAAAGATCTATGACGGAACAAGTTTGAGCTATGACTGAACAACAAAGATCTATGACGGAACAACTTCGAGTTATGACCGAACAACAAAGATCTATGACGGAACAATTTCGAGCTATGACCGAACAACAAAGATCTATGACGGAACAATTTACCTTTGTTAGTGCAAAGATGCAAAAACTAGAATTTGTGATGTTTTTCTTGCTTGTAATTGGTGTTTTATTACTTATGAAGATGTAATGCTAGTTAGAAGTAGAAGTAGAAGTAGAAGTAGATTGAACTATGTTTTGTTGTGGAATGGAATATGTATTGTTGAATATGTTTTGTGGAATGGAATATGTTTTGTTGTGAATTGTTGAATTTTTTAGTGGAAGGGAAATGACCCACTGAATTGTTGAATTGTCATTGTTGAATTGTTGAATGAAGACGTGGAATGAAGATGTGGTACTGTGGAATTGTTGTGGAATGAAGATGTGTTATTGTGGAATTGTTGTGGAATGAAGATGTGAACCATGAACAAGTTTTAAACGATGAACTGAACCATGACCCATGACAGATTTTAAACCATGTCAGATTTTAAACAGGTTTGTTGTGGAATGAAGATGCTGTGGAATTGTTGTGGAATCAAGATGTTGAGCATGAACCGTGATAGATTTTTAACAGATTTTTTTACAGATTTGAACCATGATTTGAACCATAAACAGATTTGAACCATAAACAGACATATTTTGGCAACCATGATTTGAACCATAAACAGATTTTTACAGATTTGAACCATAAACAGATTTTAAACAGCATGAACCATGAACCATCATTGACAGAACCAGATTTCAGACATTTCAGCATGATTTTTACACAGATTACACAGATTTTTAAACCAGATTTTAGACAGATTTTTAAACCAGATTTCAGACATTTGAGCATGAAATGTGAACCATGAACCAGATTTTACACAGATTTGTACACAGATTTCAGATTTTTACCAGATTTCACATCGTTGACAGATTTTTGCAACTTTTACACAGATTTTTACAGATTTGAACCATGAACTGAAAAAATCATATTTTGGCTAAAATCATTTTTCTTACAGATTTCTTAAACCATGAACTGTCAACAGAGCTTCTGCATGAACTCTCAAAAAATCATGCTCAAACACTGACAAAATGCTCAAACACTGTCAAAATAGCAAAATGAAACAGATTTTTTTATAGAATTTTTTAAACCATCAACTGTGAACTGAAAATGCTAAAAGACAAATTGTCAAAATAAACCATGAACTCAATAACGAATCTTGCAAATTCATACACAACATGCGTTACACATGTAACATGGGACTTAACATAATAAGTTTCAATCTCAAAAACAAAATGTCAATGTTCAATAAACTAGTCAAACATTTCTACAATCTCCATCATTCATTCGCGCTGTGCAATGTCCATCATTCATTCCCGGTGTGCATACATTAGAACCCGATGGGGTTAGAGATCCAGATCCAAAAAATTGAGTTGGAGCACTCATCAAACTTCTCGGTGTGCTGCTTACAAAGTTCGAAGGGATAAGAGATGTGCCTCCAATAGCATTTACGACCTGTCATAATTGAAGTAAAAAAATACATGTTACAAAATATTTGTAAATGAAAACAAAAAATGAATGTAAAGTCGTCTTATGAACACATACCGGTGCATACACACTATTTTGCATGCCAACCATATAAGCAGCCTATATTGGTTCAAGAGTTTGTAAAAATGTAGTTGAAAGAGTTTGTTAAGAAAATAAAAAACAAGTTCAATTTAATATACAAGTTCAATTCAATATACAATTTACCTTTGCTTTTGTTTGTTTTTTTGCCGTTGCCTTGAACCGATTCACTATTTGATCTACTTTGGCAACCTTTCGTTTCATTACTGGACGGCCTCTTCGCCGAACAACCAAAGGACTAACCACCTTCCTCGTACTAGCACCCGATGTACATCCGGTGGCAATTGGACTTTTTGTAGAAGATGGTATCCTATTAGTAGAAGGTGGTAAATTACTCCCATCACCAGATTCATCATGCATGACTTTATCCTTCATTTCATCCAACCCACGGTCTATAATTTTAATTTTCCCTTCTGAATTACCAGCAAGTTGTATAATGGCGATCAATTTCTCGTTCATCCTCTCATAACAAATTGTATTGAAATCATCCCCAAAGCCAGTGTACGTGGTTTTGATGCATGTGTACTCTCGAACCAAATCTTTCCTCCAACGTGGCAAAATGTACTTACTTGGCACCTCATTTATGCACCTTCTCACAAGCACCGCGAGTGAGTGAGCACACATAATCCCTCTAAACTGAAACAACCGACACATACACTGAACTTCACATTCAATTGAATTAAAATACACAACAAAGTCCACATGCTTCATCTTGTCACAAACTACCATCGCTTCTTGGACATTATATGTACAAATTGCTCCCTCCTCTTTGACAATCAAGGCTTGACAGTACACTAATCTCTTCAACTCTCCTTGAACTTCTTTGAATTTTGCATTGGTGTGAAATTGCTTCTCAAAGCCATATATAGTTAGACAATCAAAAAATTTGTGTCGAGATTTGATGTCTGATTTCTTCTCTTTCTCTACCTTACTTCTCAACGCATTGTCATATTGTTCAACAAATTGTTGTAATGTAGTCTTCGGGTTAACATATCCATCAAAAAAAGCATTCATGCTTTCACTTCGTTGTGTTGTTGACATACCAGCCCCAAAAATGTCTTTAACATATACAGGAACCCATCGATGCCGCTCATGATATAGTACCCCCAACCACTCATTATCATAAAGATTGAATTTAGTAAGCATCTCTTCCCATTTTTTCTCAAATTCATCTCTTGTCAAACAATCATAAATTGCATTTTGCATAGCCAACTTCATGGGTTCATACTGAGCATATCCTTTCAACTTCTCCGGTATTTTCTTCATTACATGCCATAAGCACCATCGATGCCAGGCCTGTGGAAAGACAATTTTTATAGCATTTTGCATAGCTCTGCACTGATCAGTTATGATAGCTTTTGGAGGTTTATTTGACATGCAACTTAACCACGACTTGAATAGCCAAACAAATGTGTCGGTGTTTTCACTAGATAACAATCCACAACCAAGCAAAATATACTGTCCATGGTGATTGACTCCTACAAATGGAGCAAATGGCATGTCATATTTGTTCGTCAGATAAATTGTGTCAAATGAAACAATATCTCCAAATGATTCATACATAGCCCGACTCCTTGCATCAAGCCCAAAACAAGTTTCTAATGCGAAACTCCTCATCAACATCAATCACATAAAAGAATTTCTCACTATGTGCTTGCATTCTCATAAAATAACTTTGAAGTGATTCGGCATCACCTTCACCAAGCCTTAATCTTCTAGCTCTATTAATGTAATTCCTTGCATCTTGCTTATCAAATGTCAATGACTCGTATCCCCCCGCTTCAACAACTATTGAATGATAGTTTCTAGACACCCCAATTCCTGCTTGATCATTGATTTCTAATCTTCTCTTCACAGGAGTACGAATTTTCTTATTCATTACAAAATGACGAGAGTCGGTGGGAATCAAATCATGATTATGCTCAAGGTTAACTGTGGTTAACATATATGTCCCATTATTTTGTAGAGTACCTTGTACCCTTGCTTTGTAACCAATTTTTGTGGACAAAGATGGCTTCAAAGGGTTCATTTCTGATTTCTTTTTTCTCACCCCCCTCGAGAACATTCAATTGCAAAGTTTTTTAATTCGCCATCATCTCCAAAATGTTATGCTCTATGAGCTATAGAAAAGCCAACATGCTTAACATATGTGGCATAAAATGTGTACACTTCTTCCCTTGAGCTAAAACACATACCCTTCTTCGGTTTTTCAACTTGTTTTTGAGGGGGTCAGAAATCAGATTCAACTTGTTCACCCTCATTTACTGAAGGATTGTCACCACCATTTGAATCAACCTCTATTCTACGAGAATCAAAAATGAAATTCAAATAGAATGATTTTAGGATAATAATTTTATAAGATCAAACATCAGCTAATAAACTGTAGAAACTGTTGAAATAAACCATCAAATAAATTCAAACATCTGTGATGTCTAAAACTAATCACAGATGTTTATAAGATCAAACATCAGCTAAAATATTATAAAACTAATAATAAAATTATTAAACTAATCAAACATCTAATAATAAACTTTGTTGAACACATCTGTGATGATTGAAACATTGATCTAATAATAACCTTTCAAACATCTAATCAAACATCTGTGATGATTGAAACTTTGATCTAATAATAAACTTTCAAAATCTTATAATCATCACAGATGTTTGATTATAAAACTAATCAAACATCAGCTAAAATATTATAAAACAAATTGTATTTCAATCAAACATCTGTAAAGACAGACATCTGTTATCAAATACAATGTTTGATTGAAATTATCAAACATCTGTTATGAAACTTTGAAGTTTTCCACTGCTTTTTGTCAAACAAAGTTTTCCACTGTTATGAAATTATCAAACAAAGTTTTCCACTGCTTTTTGTCACAATTTCATAGTTTTTTGTCTCTAAGTACTGTTATATGTTTAAAAAGTAGCAAAACCAAGCTTGGTACATTCTAATCTTTCCTACATTATCTCACTCATATAGAAATCTAAAGCTCTCTTTGCCTTGACTTTGCAATTATCTCTTTCACTTGAAGGTAAATTAAGAATTTAAAAAGAAAAATTTAACAACCCAAACAAGATTGCACAATCACAAGAACCCTACAAAGAGTAAGTTTCTCTATTTGTAATTGAAAAGTAAAAAAAATAAAAAATAAATAAAAATGAAACAAGAATCCTACTCTAAATTATGTAGAGATGAAGCTTTGGGCAATATATTTATCAGTAGATTCAAAAGTTCAGAGTTATAATCCTAGCATTGATGCTATCATAGATATCATTACAACTGTCCGTTTTTTCTCTGTATACTTTGCACCTTCTGTAATGTCCAAAAAGTTAATGACTGCAGTCAAAAATTTGATAATCACAAAGAAATTCTCTGCTTCAATGTTTCAATAAACATCGGCCAAAACAAACTGATAACATGCAGGGATGTCATAATTTGGGGTTATGAACAGATTTTATATAGAACCCCAAATTATGAGCATCAACCATGACAGTTCAGCATGGTTGATGTAGATAGAGAGAGAGAGAGGGAGAATCAGGAATTTTCGAGTAACATTACCTAACAAAATGCTATGGTCGACGGAGAGCTATGGCCGACGGAGGAGAGCTATGGGGGACGCACGATAGAAGGGAAGAGAGAAGGCGTTCCTGCTTTTTTTTTCTGTCTTTGTTTTAAGTATTTTTCTTGTCTTTCAGGTGCTTGTATAACATCTTTTTCATTGTGCGATTCTTCTTCAAATGACCTCATCAGGTGCCACCTCAAAGGGGGTCGAGGGGGTCTTCAATTGAGAGGGTCTGTATCGGAATTGTTTTTTAAATTGAGCAATACTAAGTATCATGAAAAAATTTTCATGAAAATAATCATGAAAGATTTATAACTCTTGGATTACACTTAAAATAAAACACCACACACTAATCAAGGTAATCCAACGATCATAATTCTTTCATAATCATTTTTATAAAAATTTTTTTATAAACCTTAACTTTTCTCTTTTAAATTATAATATACAAAGCCTAGATTAACATCTGGACAAACCCCAAACAAAACATTTTGCCGGTTTTGGACAAAACCATGGGCTGAAAAACCACTTGTGTATACACTTTCCCCCAAAAAAGTGGGTTATAGCTACAGTAGACAGCTTGCAGCTGGTCACGCTCACCAAGGATCCTCTAGATTGAAATTTTCTTAAAGTTTCCTAGAGTGCTATATTGTGTGGTTGAGATTTACTGGCAAGTCACATCAGAAAAATTGATGTGACTTGCCAATAAATCTCAACCATACACTGTAGCACTTTAGGAAACTTTAGAGAAAAATCACTCTAGAGGATCCTTGCTCGGTCACGGTCACGCTACCCCACTGGGTTGATCTCCCAATGCCTAATTCCCGCGCCAAACAGATGCGTGTAACAGTAACACCCTCACCAAAACCATGCACTGGCAGCAGGCCGACGCCAGAGCATGTACAGACCACCATGGCCGTTAACATCAGAAGATCCAGCAATCAACGGCGACTCCGGCGAAGGTACAAACATCCAGAGCTCACCAGCATCCATAGCTCAAGCTATATCCTCGCCGGCGTAATTCCACCGGCGAGAAACAACCCCGGCAGAGCCAGGGAAACATATCATCCACGATAGTCCAGGACCAGACCGGCATGTAGCCCTCTGCGAAGACAGACCAGAACGGCCGAAACCCACAAAGGCACTACCGGTGAAGCCCTTAAGACCAGAAAGAGCACCACCTGTGCAGAATCGCCGATGAACTCAAACAACCCAACAAAGAGGCCAACAATAGCCAGGCTGGTGCCGGATAACAAAAACCACCCAGAAAGATTACCTCGGCACGAACACGACGGCCATGAACCACAACACCAGCACCGTCTACACAAGGCTACCAACAAGGTAACGACGGCAGCACCAACGATCTTCTTAAAACTGGAACAAAGCACCCCTTTCCTGACCATTGCGGGGGTGGTTTAGGCTCCCAAACCGCAAACAATTTCTCACTGGATACCTACTCACGTGAGACTACCGGAGTAGACCAAGGCAGCAACACACCGCACAATCAAGCCGGTGAAATCAACGCCGGAGGAGAACCTAACCAGAGCAGAAAAGTAACACGGGGGAGACCCTTGTCACTCCAAACTTCACTTCAGAGAAGAGGCAACTCAACCCAGATCACACCCATTTACATTAACCTTCTCTCTCTAGAACTAAAGAGAGAGGCTAGCAACACAGTAGAGCGCAGCCAACAGCCCCACTCCGAAACAAAAGGTAGCCCAAGCCCGACAAGTGTAACTCGCAGAGGATCGCCAGAAACAGACCGCCGGCGAACTCCTTGAACACTAAGCATATATAAACACGCCGTGACCCAATCACACGGCCGACGGAGACCGTCATTTCCAACCAGTATTACCGCCGGCAAACCATATCCATTCCTCCCAGACGCCGGAGCTGCAAACCCAGACGTCGGAGGACCAAACATGCGCCGCCAAGGAACTATGCACAACGGCCATGAGCAACGTCGGGCCACCATCATAAGCAACGACAGTCACTCACAGTCACCACAAAAAAATGAAAAAAAACTAAGAACGTAGAGATCATAAAACAAAAGCAGTGAAGGAGCTAACAAACGTATGGTGCAGGGGCGGGCTATGTGTAATTCAGTCGTGTTAATTGACACCACTGAATTTTTAAATTTTGTTTAAATATATATGAAATTTTATTTAATAATTTTAGATTTTAACAAAATGATTATAGTGTTTGGAATTATTTATTGTTTAGTGGTGTTAATTTTAACAAAATGACCCTAGGAAATCTAAATAAATATCACATACATTATATATATTTGGAGCTATTCATTGTTTAGTGGTTTCAATTTTAGCTCAAAGTTCGTTCGTTTATTCATTTGTCCCATCAACGCTTTATTCTCTAACAATCGTTGTTGCATTGCCATTGATACATTCATTTATTTGTTCTCTTTTCTCTCCCTCTGAATGACCCTATTGAGGGGAATTCCTGACTACGCCCCTGGTAGGGTAGAGGAGCTAACAAACTGGGCAGGATTTGCACCAGAAACCATGAAAACCGACGGGGGAGCTTTTTCTCTCTTGATATGATTATTGAAAAAGATTGGGAGCTTTAAATTAAGAGCTCTAATAGTTCTAATTGATGTGTGGGTCTCATGTGATGTGATGTTTTGGTCTTGTTTTTTTATTTATTTATTTATTTATTAATTTTCCATATCATTAGTGTTCTTTTAGAACTCTAAAATTAGAGGGATGTATCATTTTTTATGATTATTTATCGTGCAGTAATGCTAGGTATCATGAAAAATCTTTAATAAAATTAATCATGAAAGCTTTGTGACCCTTGGATTACACTTATAATAAAGTATTACACACTAATTAAGATAATCCAAAGATCATAACTCTTTCATGATCACTTTCATAAAAAAAATTTCATGACCCCTAACTTTTTTTATTTATCGTGTCATGTCATAAAGGCATTGTTTGGGAAGGGCTAAAGTGGTTATTTTAGTCACAAAAGACAAAATACGCTATTTTAGTCACAAAAAATAAAATATCACATTCAACCCATAATCATTACTCTTCTCTCACAAAAAAGTCAAAAAAGCCAAAAAGTCATTCCCAAACCAAACTTTTTAGGCCAGGCTAAAATACCAAAAAAAATTAAAAAGTCAAAAAGCTAACTCACTTCCCAAACGGAGGCAAAATTTTGTTTGTAAATTTTTTTTTTATTAATCTGAACCAATTAATTTTGCACACATTTCGTGTGTTGTTACATGGGTTAGCATGTCGTATCAAAAAATTTAGGGAATTTACCAATCAAATGCTATTAATTAGATTTATTTATTTATAGGTTCTGAATGATAAATTTATCAATATAAATTTATTTATAAAAATAAGAGAGACTAATAAATTTATCAATATAATTTAATAGATAATAAGTTTAAAAAATATGACATATTGGTAATCAAAAATGTTAGGTAGTCTGAATTTTCTTGGTTCGAATGGTTCGAAACACCCAAAACGACATTGTTTTGACACATTTGAGTCATTCAGACCACACAAATTCGGATCACCAAGTATTTTTCATTGGTGATAATACAGCGTGTTCCGAATAGAATAGGTCGAACTGATCCACGCTTCCCAAACTAGAGCCTGAGGTACCAAGCCCACGGAGAGACCTGCACAAGAGTTCAACCGGAACGAGGAGTCCCCCAGCGAACCCTCCGACGAGCAAGTTAGAAAGAGAGATGAAATGTAGAGATCGATTAGAAATAGAAAGCTTAACCTTCTTCTTGTCTTCGACGTCTGCTTATATCCTCTGGTAATCATTTCGTTGTCCCTTCCGACCTGTCATCTTGGCCGAAAGTCTATGCTCTAGCTTGCCTTGTTCATGGTGAGGCCGCTCTGTCTCGACGGGGATGTGTTATTGCAATAAATGTTGTAAGGGGCTTCATTAATGGCTGATGTGCAGTGCAATAACTTTGCAAGATTTTTGTCTGCTTATGTGGCTTGTCCTTCACCTGCCACGTGTCTAAGTGTCATTGGTTCTTAATGCCATGTTGAGTTCCAACCACGTTGGGTTTCATTAGTTGAATTATGTACTGGGCCTTAAGTGGTGGGCTATAGCTTTTATGGGCTTACCCATGTCAGTAGTCCCCAATTCCTGAGTGCAGTTTTAGTCCAACGTAGGGAAAAAAGAAGAAGACGATGGCCGACCATGAGGAGGGCCGACCGCGACGGGTGACCGAGTGAAAGGACCGACCATGAGGAAGGCCGACCGTGAAAGGTGACCGAGGAGAGGGACCAACCACGAGGAGGGCCGACCACGAGGGGTGACCGAGCGGGGGGACTGACCATGAGGAGAGGGGACCAACCATAAGGAGGGCCGACCAAGAAGGGTGACCGAGTGGAGGGACCGACCATGAGGAGGGCTGACCGCGACGGGTGACCGAGTGGAGGGACTGACCACAAGGAAGGCCGACCGCGAAAAGTGACCAAGTGGGGGGGCAAGTGGCGGTGTGCGGGGCTCGAGAAGTGGCAGGGGCACGTGGTGAAGTGAAGTGGAACAGACAGGGAAGGGGAAAGGAGGCGTGGATCGTCGTCGTACACGTGGCGGAATCCCGTTGTGGAGAAGGTTAGGCGTTGAGCAAGAAATGAGCAATAGGTCAATATAGGGTGTTGAAAAGACAGTTTTGGCGAATTTCTGAAAATTTTCAAATTGGTGAAATTTAATTGTGACCCTTGGAATATAGGCAAGCCTTGGGCTTTTGGTATTATCCATTTTACCTATCTTTTTGCAAAGAACCAAAACGTCCCAGAAGTAAACTCGTTCGTTGCTAGTGGTACGCCCCTGCAACACTTTGTGAACTTTCTGGTGCCCGCATCCGAAGCCATTCGCAGACACACAAGAGAGATGGCCCAAGAGGAAGCAACAACCGCAAGGGTTGATCCATTAGGCGACGACAATGTGGTGGATTTGGCAGAACAATATCGTACGAAGCGTAGGGAGGGGGAGGGAGCGAGTCAGGCGGTGCGGGCTCGCCCCAAGAGAATAATTTCGGCCGCGAGACCTATTAGTCAGGTGGAGTCGGACCATTGGCATACCAAATCGGACAGATCCGTAGTGACAGTAGAGGAATTGGAGGGAATAAGGAAGAAGTATCAAATTCCGTCGGAGATAGGGTTAAGATTGCCCACATCGAAGGAAAGGGCGTCGGATGTGCGGCCGGGCGAATTCAGCTTGTACGAGGAGGCGTTGCGAGGGGGTTTGAGGATATCTCTCCCCCAAGTAATGATGGATGTGTTAAACAAGTTAGAAGTGGCGCCATGACAGCTGATGCCGAACGCGTGGAATATAGTAGTGGCCTGCGCGAGTGCCTGGCTGTAGGCGATCAGGGGGACGACAATGACAGTAGATGAGTTCTTCTCCTGCTATAAGGCCTCTGGTCAGCAGGAGACTTGGGTGACTCTGCAAGCAGTGGCGGGGCGAGGGCTGGTGGCAGGTTTTCCATCTTCGGTCAAGGGGTAGAGGCTGAGATAGTTCTTTGTGATGGCGAACGGTGGGGCTGGGGTTCGCACAACGTGGAAGGTCCCTACCAAATCAGTCGAGCCCAAGTTAGACGGGGAGGCCGAAGACCAAGTGAAGAAGGTGAGGGAATGGAGGGAAGAGAAGAGGATGAGGTGGGACGAGCTAGTCCTGCCTTTAACGTTGTTCGCCCTGAAATTGAAACCGCAACCGTTCAAGGAGGATTCAGCAAGGGAGGAGTTGGAGGTGCAGAGGAGGGCGGAGGAGGAGGATGAAAGAAGATTGTTCGCCAGAGCGGACAAATACAAAGAGGCAAAGTTGGGGCCTGCTCCGAAACCGATCGCGAGGGAGTGAATCTGACCGCGCCCCAAGCCGTTGGAGGAGAAGGATCTGAGTGGCTTTGAGCCGCAACCACCCCCAGTGGATCCTTTGAATGAGAAGAATAAAGAGGAGATGGAGGCTGTGTTGAAGGAGAGGAAGAAGAAGAGGGCAGACAA